CCACATTCTATACCACAGGTGAGCTTCAAGCCGCTACATGGCGGCTCCCAAAGGTACTGGTACTCACCACAAAGTGTTCATCACAGTAGTGAGTGTCAACAAATTATTGCATGAAAACGGCTCTGGTACTGCGAACCGTTGTTTACTGTCTGAAAACAAAAAGGGAAGGTCTCACGCTGACGCGTTCATCTATATGATGTCATGCTATGATGTTTTTGCTTCCCAGTATACCCCTGCATCGCATACTAGATAACATAAGCATGTCCCTCAAATACCCTTTCCGCATCTGTCCGTCCCCCTATTCTATTACGTCGACATCAGACTGATCGATACATTTTCCATTACTCGAGCAGCAACAGCGTTCTATTCCCAAACCTGCAAGCGCCTTATCACTTTATTATAACGACCTTCTTAGTTTTTCTTGGACAGTTTCTTAACAGGACGGACTGGTACGTCTTGTCCAATTTGCACATGAGTTCTCTGTTATACCCTGCGCTTCTTATGACTGGTACGTCTTATCTAATCACTAGATGAGTTGTCTGTAATACCATGCGCTCACTATGACTGGTACGTCTTATCTAATCACTAGATGAGTTCTCTGTTATACCATGCGCTCACTATGACTGGTACGTCTTATCTAATCACTAGATGAGTTCTCTGTTATACCATGCGCTCACTATGACTGGTACGTCTTATCTAATCAACAGATGAGTTGTCTGTTCTACCATGCGCTCACTATGACTGGTACGTCTTATCTAATCACCAGATGAGTTGTCTGTTATACCCTGCGCTCCTTATGACTGGAACGTCTTACCAAATCATTAGATGAGTTGTCTGTTATACCGTGCGCTCACTATGACTGGTACGTCTTATTTAATCACCAGATGAGTTCTCTGTTATACCGTGCGCTCACTATGACTGGTAGTCTTGTCTAATCACCAGATGAGTTGTCTGTTATACCCTGCGCTCCTTATGACTGGAACGTCTTACCAAATCATTAGATGAGTTGTCTGTTATACCGTGCGCTCACTATGACTGGTACGTCTTATCTAATCACCAGATGAGTTGTCTGTTATACCGTGCGCTCACTATGACTGGTACGTCTTATCTAATCACCAGATGAGTTGTCTGTTATACCGTGCGCTCACTATGACTGGTAGTCTTGTCTAATCACTAGATGAGTTGTCTGTTATACCCTGCGCTCCTTATGACTGGAACGTCTTACCAAATCACTAGATGAGTTGTCTGTTATACCGTGCGCTCACTATGCAGCATAGGGAACTGTTAGTCTGAACTGTTTATTAAGGAATATTTTGTCTTTGCGCCGATACATTTGTAAGTATTCTTCTACTTCGGCAATCTGAACCCTTCAGGTTCACTGTTGCCGCCATTCATTTCTGTGATTGGCTTTTTTTTCCAGTTGGTGACTGCAAAATAACTTTCAACAACTCTTCACAACAGTTTATTATATCTTACAGCTTTATGCAGATTTATGAGGTTAACAGTCAAAGTTCGGGAACGCAGCAACAAAACAGAAATCGTGTCGTCGGAAAACAAAATCAGGATGCCGATGAGATCGTCACTGGAACTATGTAGTTCGTGCTTTGTGCAACATTCTTGAATAAAAACACCTGCGAATTCTAATCCAACGTTGTGTCAACATTTCAAAGCAATCGGTGAAGAACGGCTGGCATATACCTTTGTGCAGATTTCTGAGGTCAACAAAGTTAGCCAACAACTTAAAACCCACGCCGTTGTTTCAAAATGTTAAAGTAATCGGTGAAGCACTTACGGAAATTAACTATCACTAACAAACGAACATTTTTATTTATATAGGTAATGGCTTAGTGAAACGTATCATGCAAAGATCCACCTACAAAGACATGGTTCTAAATGAGTTAATCAGACGAATCAAAAAGGGAATTACCAAATGAGACCCATAGAAGTCAAGCGCACTAAAAAATATATCTTTTTTTTAGTTGAAAAACCATAAGTTGTAAACCCTTTGGCTCGGTACTATAGATATCGCAACCCTTCTGCCTTGATAGCATTTGTCCTTTCTGCCTATCCCAGAGCGTGATAGGACCAGAAGTTTGTCACCCGGTCGCCGCGCAGCTGGTTCATATTCGTAACTAGCAGAAAAAAAAAAATTTGCCGTCTATAAAAAATAAAATATCAATGTCCAACTCAAATGAAAACAAAGCGCACTTATATAGTTGTTGATTGCTGATGTAGGACTTGATCACACGTAAATGTGAAATTGATATTCTTGGGATGCAAGCAAACAACAGTGTAGTATCTCGCATCAAGTACTCAATCAATTCTGTCATGAATTTTTTAATGGGTAATTTTCATTTGTTAAGTAATTACTCATCAATTTTAATGTTTTATTTGACCTTCACAATAATGGAATTAAACGTCAATAATATCAGCAATCGAGTAGGAAAAGTTCTGGAAAAAAAATTGAGGGGGGGGGGGGAGGTAGGGGACGTGTTATAGAAGATAAGTTTACCAGTGGAAATATTTAATATAACCCTATGCACTTCCTCTGCCCATCAGAACAGTTATCTCTAGAAAAAAATTACATCTCTTGTGTTTAAAATGAATAAATTATTTCCAAAAACTTCTGAAACGGGAACTTGCAACGCATCTCATTATTTTTTTTTTAGGAATTTGTGAAAGTCGGATGAATTCTGCTTCAGCGGCAGTGTTTATAAAACATAAACGCTGCTTAAAAAAACATAATAATCTTTCTCGCCTTTTTGAGCCACATCGGGCACATACTAACGAAAGTCAGGCTTTCCATATAAGGGCGTGTGTGTGTGTGTGTTTTTTTTTTTTTTTGTATGGCAGCTCTAAAGTATGACTTCATTCTTCGCACTTTGAAGCTACTTGCAGTGTATGTGAGTATGTGTGGGAAATCAAGTGCCTTGCCTACTGGAGTGAGTGATAACGCCTCTGCACAATCCGACATTCGCAGCTGCGTGTATCACTTCGTGTGCTGACACCCCTTTATGCCATGAAAAAAGCTTCTCGAGCTGTCGTTTTGCCCTGTTTCTCTTTACACAGATTTTCTAGTGGTAACAGCATGTTTTACCTTATGTCTGCTAATAAAATGACCCCCCCCCCCCCCCCCCCCCCCCCCCCCCCTAAAAAAAAAAATGATGACTGTCTCTCTCTGATGTTTTGATAAGTTGTCTTCAAGCAATCGTCTCTTTCAAAACATCTGGGTTGCTCTTCTGAGCTGTCGAAGCAGTTCTAAGGATTCTTCTGTAAAGCGACATCTTTGAGGGCTTGTTTATTAATTGTCCATGATTCAAAGCCCTATGAAAAAAAAAAAAAAACTGTCTCTATATAGCATGCAATAATTCTTTTCCTAACCTCCAATGATATGTATTTTTTTTTTTTTTTGCACATAATGTTCTTCATTTTATAAATGTCAGTTTTGGCCTGTCCTATTCTGTTCTGACTGATACCTCTTGCATCGGATGTTCTCCATGTGACAACATACTTACATTACTGTACTTTTCTTAAATTACCGGCTTTGACATACACACACACAAACACACACACACACACACACACATACAAACATACATACATACATACATACATACATACATACATACATACATACATACATACATACATACATACATACATACATACATACATACATACATACATACATACATACATACATACATACATACATACATACATACATACATACATACATACATACATACATACATACATACATACATACATACCTACCTACCTACCTACATTACATACAGACATACATACATACATACATACATACATACATACATACATACATACATACATACATACATACAATACATACATACATACATACATACATACATACATACATACATACATACATACATACATACATACATACATACATACATACATACATACATACATACATACATACATACATACATACATACGCACACACATACACACACACAAACACACACACATACATGCACGCATACATACACACATACACACACACACACAACTCTCAGTAGCAAGGTATAGAACGACTTGGCCTGACTTGGCCTGAAGAGTTTATGGCCTATGCTTCATTTGGGGATAGAAGGCAGAAGAAAAATAAAATTTATTACTGTGCATAAGTGCAGCAATCTAGACTTTCGGGCCTCTTAGGCACACGCTTAAAAAAATGTGCAGGCTTATCATAACAGATTTCGACGGCCCTGGATGTCCTGAAAATCAACAGTGTATGGAGACGTGTGTGGTGTTTGTTTGGCTTTTCCCCGCGGCTTCACAGAGCGGTAACCCAGCCTGGCAATAGGGCGCCAGTGCAGCGGCCAGCACGAGTGAACCAAGCACCAGCAAAAGTCAGCATAAACCCACACTGATAGCAGTTAAAGAGAGCCGGACCAGATCAGGACCCAGAACCCAAAATACCACACCGGACTTAGGAAGACAAAGAAAAGTAATATCAGGTGTGGCTTCACACCACACACACACAAAAAGGATACTAATAAAGATAGTCAATGCACCTGCCTTAATATTGCAGGCCTTAGATGGCTGACAAAGCATCAAGTTTGGAATTATTGTTTCTCAAACAGGAATTAGTGGCTCAGCATTCCCCCTCGTCCGCCAAATCTAAATTTGTAAGAGAGCCAAACTGCCCTCTCTTTCCCAAATTAGTTTGGGAATTATTTTTGTAAAATTGTGTTAATACACATTATATTATTTCAAATATATTATTATATAATTTTTTAATTCAGCACATTGTTATTATTATGCACCCAAAAAAGGCTGAAATACTTAAGAGGACTGAGTTTCATGTCAATGTTTTCTGCGTGTCAGAGCCCCTGCTACTTGGGTATCACTGTGTACATCATAGCTTCATGTTTATGTTTTAAATAGGCGGTACACAACATTGCTATATCTCTACAGGTAATCGCTGGAATTTAGGTCACATTCTCGGCGTAATGGAGCACCTGCGCAACGTTCTGGTAGCAATCTACATCTCATGTAGCATCCTCATCATCAAAGCCAACCTGTTCATCATCGGTGCTATCCTGTATTCACCCGTACTGCGAAAGAAGACACGCAATCACATCATCATCAGCATTGCATTGGCGGACCTCCTGCTGGGCAGTTTTGTCACTCCCATGCTGGCCACAAATTTGATAGAAAGTTCAATTGCTGATTGCCATACCCATCTTGCCGTTCAGGTAGGTTTTGGTGGTTTTCTTTTTCTACATAATAATCAGTTTATCTTTTCCCCCAGCAAGGAACTCCGCATTCCTTTATTGTTGACAGGGGGGCCTCAAACTAAAACACACATTCTAAGTGTGATAGAACTTACAGTAAACATACCATTCTTTTGTAACCTGTCAATATTGTTGTTAAGGATGTCAAGAGTGTTAAACATAGTGCAGAGAATGGAGAACACGATGACGACATAATGATAGTGAAACAAATTAGAAACTGATCAGGTAATGAAGACGCAGTATACTCATGCATTCCTGCCAGGAAACCAGGTTTGTGAGTGGAAAAAGAAGTAAGGGGAAAGTAAGAAAGGGTCAAGAACTCCTCCCCGCGTAACTTTATAAAATAGCTGAGCTTTTCCTGTAACCATGTTTACAAATTCTCTCTAAAAGTAAGTGTTCATGCATTTCATATTATTAGATGTATGTTGCTATAATTATTTGTCATTTGGCACAGAACTATTAATTGTGCTCCTAAGTTTTGGTAGCACAGTCGACGTCTTTGCACATTGGGCATCCGCATACGTTCTCAGTCCTCCGATGCGGCAGCCACTAAAAGGTACCTCTGCTGATTGTTCCCATGAGGAGTTTGTTATGGTATCTATTGTTTTTAACTCGAAGACGTGATAGAAATGCTTTGCCAAGAAAAGCACTGAGGTCACTGAGTCGTGTTAGCGTCAGAGATTCACCGTTATTTCCCAACATCGTCCGCAAAGCGTTGATGACATCAGCTCTGTCCATCCTTCTTCCCGTTTGCATTGGTGCATTACTTGCCAGTTGGTGAGCTCTCTCATTACCATTTACTCCTGCGTGCCAAAGTGTGTAGATCCAGATGATGGAGGTTAACTGCGACTTTTTGATGCTTTCTACTCATTCAAAACGTAGACGTCCTGTAGCGATTTCCTTAAGCATGATGATAGAGTCTGAAACGAAAACCGCATGTTTGCTTGCTTGTTTTGCTACCCATGCGAGTGCTCTGGGAGCAGCAGTTATCTCCTTTATCATGCTTGATGTAGTGGTCTGATAGGCACCGTTATCCTCTGTTACTGTTTTTTTCACATCATTTGTGCTGTGTATGCCCATGCCAATCTTGATCCGCGTTTCACGGACCCATCTGTGTAAATGTATGCTCTTAAATTGTGTCCCTTTGTGCCTAAACCCTGTTAACGCGGGGGAGAGGTTTTAGCGCCCCTTTCCTTTTCTTCCGCCATGTTTTCTTTGATCTCATTCGTTGTTGTGTATCTCTCCTCAGTCCACTGCCAGTCATACCCGAGACAGACGTTCTTCTTCTAGCACACGATGTAAACTGTTTAGCCTTCTGTCTGTCTGTCTGTCTGTCTGTCTGTCTGTCTGTCTGTCTGTCTGTCTGTCTGTCTGTCTGTCTGTCTGTCTGTCTGTCTGTCTGTCTGTCTGTCTGTCTGTCTGTCTGTCTGTCTGTCTGTCTGTCTGTCTGTCTGTCTGTCTGTCTGTCTGTCTGTCTCAAGTCTCATGTTAATGAATAAGTGTAGTTTATACGTTTGATTTGTTTTACAATTGTCTGCCCCACACAACTTTTTTTTTTATTCCTGGATTCCTATTTAATTTCGCATCCTCTGTTTTTATCCCCAGGTCATCGGAGACCACGGCATATTTTTTGTTGTAGGATGGGAACTGGTGACCTTTAACATCCTCCACTTGAGAGAAAGTAACATGCGCTTTCCTTGGAACTTCCTCAAGGTGCCGGTCTCTGCATGCCTGAAAAGCTTCATCCTGACCATCTGGCCATGGTTCGCTGCACTGTGTATTCTTGTGCCTCTGATTGTGACCAACGCACCAATCAAATTATACTACAATCTGTCCGATGACGCCATGTGCATGATGAGGTTACCCAGAAATATACTTGTCACAGTATGTTTCTTCTCTCTTTATCTGCCGTTCTACTTGTGTGTTGCAGCTTTGGTGACTGTTGTAGTCTGTTACAGCAAAGGATGTCACAAGCGGTCTTCAACAACGTTAATGGACAGCCCCAGAAACGACGCCATAGAAGAAGCACCACAGCGACTTGAGGTAGAACAACAAGTTGATCGTCCTGATAACCCACTTGTAGCTTGCGTCCCGAACATGGTATATCTGGTGTGTTACATGCCCCTAATTGTTCACACATGGCTGCACTTCAGTAATATTTACACACCCAACGCGGCTTACGGGATGATTGTATTTGGACTCCTGGCCAGATCAATCATTCTTCCTTTGTCGTGGGCAGTTTTTAAGGACATTCGCCATGAGTTGAAAGAGTATGAGAAGAAACTAAAAAATGTGTTAGGTGCTTGTGTGAGGAACCCCCTCCCTTCAACTTCCTCAGCTGTGTCTTTCAGTCGACTACAAGAAACTCAGACTGTTTGACACTTCCTCAAAACATGAAACATCAAATTTAAAGAACATGCGTGAATAAACAAGACTGACTGACTTTCTACCCCACCAGGACATCATACATCCGATGACACAATGTGCCACCATGTGGGAGAGGATCACCGTGGAGAGGTCCCAGAAACCGCGTTCAGCCTTTAGGCCATATTTATGGCCAGGCTATATTGCGGCCCTTGGCAAAGCCAGAGTAGGGCTTGCAGTAACAAAAAAAAATTCATTACAAAAAGGACGGGGAGTAGTAAATTATATACGAAAACACTTTTTATTTCCTTTTGAACAGAAACGAAATCCCCACGTCCCTGACAAATTGTAACCAACAGAGAAGGACTTAACAATGCCACATTCTAATTAATACTTTCTCATCATAATTAAAAGCAATGGGAATTTCAAAAGACCTCAGTTGGAGCTGGCCCATCCAAAGTAGAGAGTCAACAAAATTGTGAGCCTCAGACACAATATTAGCAAGGAAACAAAAGTTAACGTTCTAAGAACATGAATTGTTTCCCATGTAATAACATATTGATGTGAGTCACAAACCATTTCGCAATCAATAAACCTGAGTTATTTTCACAGAAAATCTTCGATTCATAAGAAAATCAGTGACACCCTCTCTCTCTCTCCCTCTCTCTCTCTCTCTCTTTCTCTCTCTCTCTCTCTCTCTCTCTCTCTCTTGTGCGACACTCTGGGAGGGCACCTGTGGTTATGTGGCGAGAGATCGAGCCAAATAGGATAAGAAAGGTAGAGAAGTCGATCCTCTCAGCCTAACATTTCATTTCAATTGACATTCTACAAGCTCTAAACAACTTGGAGAGATGATTCATGAACACCATCATATCTCGGAAACCTAAACATTTGGCTATATTAAACGCATCAAAGCCTCACCCCGGCTGTAATCGGGGGTACTAAATATAAACTACGGCTTGAAAGGGGTTTCTGGAACATGAGCCCATGTGATTCCCATCCGAATGGTGACACTGTGTCACCAGGTGTTTATCGCTCGTCATGCGTCCTTGTGGGGTTGAACGACAGTCAGTCGCAGTTTTGTATATTTGTATCATACCTTCTGTGATTCAGTGAATATTTGGAAGTGATATCTCTATCTGCACTTGGTGTCACCACTGAAAAGAGAAGGCCAACCAGAGAGATGAATGGAGGCGAGTGATATCTGCAGCAATGAATCTCAAGGACTCGGAATGCTAAAGAAGATTATCTCCATCTGTTCTTTTTATAAGATCTGTG